TCACCTTCCGCGGCCCCCCGCGCGGCGCAACCGGCGTCCTGCCACCCTCCCCCCTGCGAGGGGACAATGTTTTTCCCGAGGGAAGGGGGATGCGCGGTTCCGTCACTGCTTTGAAATCCCCTTAGAAATTAGGCACTAATTAGCCCCCGAACGAGAGTGCCAACAAAGCGTGCACGGCAAAGGCGAGAATTAGAATTTTAAAAGGCAGCGCAAGAGTAAGGGCCAGCCACTTCTAAAGGAGCCGTGGTGCACAAATCTCTTGCCAAAGGAAAATCGACCCGATTTTGCATGGGTATGTCTGACGCTGCAAGGGACTGCCAGGGCCGGGCTGTTCGCTTAGAAACCGTCTGTGGTGTGTGAGGGTGAAGACACAACTCCCAACCTCTGCCAGCCTCCAAGGCAAAAGCAAAACAATCCCCAACGTCGGTCCCCAAGGAAACCTTGATCAAAGAAAGGTATTCAGTGGTGTCGGGTGTACGAGTGTGTTTATATACATTTCACGGTATTTTGCGGTTTGTGCCCAGCGTTATCAGTGCGTGCGGCCAGGTTGATTCCTCTGTGCACTGCCAGTGACCGCGACGGTCCTATCAACGGTGTAAGAGCAACTGCTGCCCTAACTAGGATCAGTTTATCTATCCTCGTCTCATAGGCAGGAGGAAGGAGTTTCAGAGCAAATGCTTTGAGATTGCCTGAACCGAAAATGAGCTTTACGAAGCAGCCTTTTACCGGGATGATGTTTGAACTCTAGTTGAAGGGGATTTAAGGGGAACAGAGAGACGATTCCAACAGTTACTCCTGGGAATGCAATATCGGGTCCCCTACAATGCTTACTTAGGCTAATGGAGGTCCTGTCATTCAGTTCCCAGTGCGCTGGGATACAGGGTAAACATTCCCCGGCGACCTTCTGCGTGCAGGTCCCTTCTTCAGGACATCATTAAAGGCATACATGCACTTGCCTGATATCAATTGTCAGGCTGGCTCTCAGGGTTCAGAGATCCCGACAGAAAGCAGGAAAACAAGCCCAGTGGAGACCCGGGTCTACGGCTGCGGACTTTAAAGAGGCTGAAAATCGTGTGGTTGCGGGTGTGTAAGAAGAGATAAAAGTGCTCAGCAGGTAAGAGAAGAGAGTTTTGCCAAGAAGGAACTGTCCTTGATCGCTGTGACAGGATTGACTCGCGGGGGACTCCTCTCTCGGGAGCATCCACGCGTCCCCGAGGGGGCTGCCTGTCTCCTCTCATCAGCATCACGGCGAGAAATTTTACAGTCGCTCTTTCTAGTCCTGCTAATCCTGTTATCCGGGGGGTTATAAATATTAACGCCTCTGGGGCTGGGGATGGGGAACCAGATTAAGCCCTCTCTGAAGTAAGATGTCAGCCAGCCTCTTCCCAGCCCACCAGCGCCCGGAGCTGCTGGATGAGCTGCACGGCAGAGTCCCGCAAGTTCCCTGCCCGGAGGGGCTGCTGGGGGCCTCGGTGCTGGATTTCGTGGCCGACCTCTCCCTGGGCACTCCCCAGGGTGCCCCCAGGGCCGGACCGGGCCTGGGGCTCTGCGAGGTCACCTCCGGGCCTCCCTTCGGGGACAGAGCCCTGTCACTCCGGGAAGGGATGGCCCGGGGACTGCCCCTGGCTGCCTTCGGAGATGGAGATCCCGAAGATGAGGAAGAGGAGGAGGAAGAAGAGAGGATGCGGAGCGCTTCCCTCTTGGACAGACCCAGGAGAAAGCGGGTTATCACCTACGCCCAGCGCCAGGCTGCCAACATACGGGAGAGAAAGAGGATGTTCAACCTCAACGAGGCGTTTGATCAGCTGAGGAAGAAGGTGCCCACCTTCGCCTACGAGAAGAGGCTCTCTCGGATAGAGACATTGCGCCTGGCCATAGTCTACATCTCCTTCATGACTGAGCTCCTGGACAGCTGCAGCAGGCAGGAGGCGAGCTAGGGAGCGCCGGGGAGCCAGGCACAACCCGCGGCAC